CATCAGCAGCAGGGGCAGGAGAGGCACCAGAGGTGAGGTCAAACAGAGAGAGACCGTCTGCCCTATCGCACTGTAGGAAAAGCTGCAGATCATCTACCCAGACCTCAAAGTCAACAGCCCGACCCTCAGCGTCAAAGGTGAGAACACTGGGGGTGGCCATGACAGCAGTAGACTGGCAGAGAGAGCAGCGGGGTAGGGCAGTGCAGTGGCAGAGGCGCTGCTCTTACCAGGCAGGTGGGTGTGAAAGGTTTAAAAGGAAGAAGAAGAAGGAGGGTTGCACTAGCAAGAATGAGGATACAAATAGCAAACCCTAGAAGGGTTGTACTCGCTATAGAGCACCCCACTACAGGCTAGAGCATAATATTCTGACACACCCCCATAGCCAAAGTGGGGTGTAATCAGCAGAGCAAGCACAGCAGTACAAGCTCAGGGTGGATCACAATGTCACCACACATTCTGAGCACAAGTTCAAGAAGCAATAGTTTAAAGTTCACAATTATGAGCAAAGCTAGAGGCTATCGCAGAGGGCAAGTGAGGAGGAGGAGAGACTGTGGGGGAGAGAAGATGGGAGGCGACTGCTGACGCTGCAGACACACAGACGAGCTGCTGGCTCAGTGGCTACCGGAACAACGCTCCGGACTACTGGGGTAACTGGCCCCGCGGCTAAAAGTAGCGGCAGACGAGCAACGGACCCACGGGCGACTGGCGACTATCGGAGATTGTAGCCTCCGGACTGCTGCTGCTGCTGACGACAAGACTGCTGCCTCCACTCGACCTCCCCCAAACATTACCACCCCTCCTGACACACACCCGCTGCTACACCGCTAGCTCCACTCCCCCTTCACCCCCCCTTAGCACCACTCCAACGGCTCCAACAAGTCCACCCCCCCTCAGCGGCAGCTGCAGCACAGGGAGACGGAGGAGGAGGAGGAGCAGGGAACGGCACACAGTAGTTTCACCCCCATACCCCTCACCCCCAAACCCTAATTCAGGAGAACGGGCTGTAGGAGGGGTGGGGCGCCAGCAGAAGCACGGGGGACAGCGGGGAGGGCAGGGGCAGCGAGGAAAGGGCCGCCCACGGGCCTGGCACAGCTTCCCGAACCGCGCGCAGGCGGCCCGAGCCGCGCGCGGGCCTGCTGGCGCAGCCCGTACGGGCCGCGCGCGGGTCTGGCGCAGCCCGTACGGGCCGCGCGCGGGTCTGGCGCAGCCCGTACGGGCCGCGCGCAGGCCTGGCGCAGCCCGTACGGGCCGCGCGCCGGCTGTACGGGCCGCGCGCAGGCCACGACGGGCGACGGGGGGCGACGCGCGGGTCCCCGTCGCCCGTCGCAGCGCCTCCCGAGGGCGACGCGGCGAGTGACGGGGTAGAAGCCCGCCGCGCGCCTCGGGGCGCACAGCGGGCAGAGAACCGCCGCGCGCCACGGGGCGCACGGCGGGCAGAAAACCGCCGCGCGCCTCGGGGCGCACGGCGGGAAGAAAAACTGCCGCACGCCACGGGGCCACAAGGGGCGGCAACGAGGCCGCTGAAGGGCGGCGACGAGGCCGCTGAGGGGCGGCGACGGGGCTGCTGAAGGGCGGCGACGAGGCCGCGAAAGGGCGGCGACGGTGCCGCGGAAGGGCGGCAATGGGGCCGCTGAAGGGCGGCGACGGGGCCGCGGAGGGGCGGCGACGTGGCCGCTGAAGGGCGGCGACGAGGCCGAGGGGGCGGCGACGGGGCCTTAAGGGGCTGCGACGGGGCCGTAAGGGGCGGTCGCGGGGCCGTGAGGGGCGGCGACGGGGCCGTAAGGGGCGGTCGCGGGGCCGTGAGGGGCGGCGACGGGGCCGTAAGGGGCGGTCGCGGGGCCGTGAGGGGCGGCGACGGGGCCGTAAGGGGCGGTCGCGGGGCCGTAAGAGGCGATCGCGGGGCCGTAAGGGGCGGCGACGGGGCCGCTACGGGGCCACGCGGGGCCTAGAGAGGGCAGCGACGGGGCCTGAGGGACCGCTAAGAAGGGCGCGACGGGTCGCTAAGGGCGGGACACTAGGCGCGCTTCGGGCAAGGGCGGCACGCGCCCCGGGTAGGAAAAAAAATCTTGGTGGGCCTTAGGAACAGTTCCCACGAGGGAACCTGCTCGATACCATGAGAAACTTAGAACGAGAATGAATTGACTAAGGAATGAAAGTGATACAAAAATGAAACCCTAGAATTGTGTACCCCTTAGTATCTAACCCGCTACAGCCTACACAGGCTAGATCATATAAGTTTGACAAATACTACTCGCCCAGACAAGCCCACTACTGACAGACCTATTTACCCACGGGTACCAAACGGACCCACTCTTCACAGGAGGGAATTCGCAGCAGTTCGCAGTAGCAAGGGGAGTCTATTACGTAAAATCCGGGATTGACCGCATTTGGGTGCCTGGGTATACACTGCTACGGGAATTACTGTTACAGGAGGCACATGACGGAGTTGCCTCGGGGCATTTCGGAGTAGAAAAGACACGGCAGCAGCTGCAGCGGTATTATTACTGGCCCGAAATGTTGACCGACGTACAACGACACGTGGCATCGTGTCCCACTTGCCAGCTCATGAAGTCATCAAGGCAGCGGCTGGCAGGACAGTTGCAGCCGATACCACCCCCAGAGCGTGCTTGGCAGCAAGTGACGATGGATTTCGTCACGGGGTTACCGGCCGGGGCGAGTGGGAACGACGCGATCCTGGTCGTCGTCGATCGACTGACGAAAATGGCACATTTCGCAGCCTGCAAGAAATCGATCACAGCCAAAGAAACAGCCCGCCTCTTCATCGCCACCGTCGTACGCCTGCACGGGATACCAGCAGCGATCATCAGCGACCGAGACACGAAATTCACCAGCAACTTCTGGCGGAACATGTGGCAGCAGTTTGGCACGCGACTACAGTTCAGCTCTTCGTACCACCCCGAAACCGACGGACAGACAGAACGGACAAATCAGACCATGGAACAGCTCATCAGGGCCACGTGCGACGACCCGACCACGTGGGAACAGCAACTGCCACTCATCGAATTCGCGTACAACAACTCGCCATCCGCCACAACCCAACAGTCACCATTTTACCTAAACTACGGACAAGACTCGACAGTACCCATGACCCCGAATCCCGACAACCCAGTGCCACGAGCACAACAGTTCACCGAAATATTACAAGCAGCACGGACCCGGGCAGCAGATGCAATAAAAAAATCCAACATCATCGCTAAACGTAACGCCGACCGCCACCGCAGACCTATCACTTACCAGCCCGACGACCTGGTTTTACTTGACACCCAGAACCTCCGCCTGCCCATCACCCCAAAACTCCGTCCCGATACTGTGGACCATTTCGCATCAGCCACATGATCACACCCGTCACCACCCACCTCCTCCTCCCTGCTGACTGGTACGTCAGCCCCTCATTCCACGTCAGCCTGCTTCGCCCTTACGTCCCGTCCACAAGCCAACTGCCACGCACTCGCCCAGCCAGCTTGACACGACCGCCAACTGAACCAATCATCACCCCCGAAAAAATCCTGAGCCACCGAGTTCGTGACCCTCGAGGAGGCCGAAGGATCGAGTTCCTGATCCGCTGGAAAGGTCGTACACCCACCGAAGACAACTGGGTTCCCCTGGACAGAATCGAAAACCACCCCGTCCTCACCGAGTATCTGCGCAGCCGAAACTTCAGGGATGTACACGCACTTTCGTAAGGAGGACCTCCTTAGGGGGGGGGGTAGTGTAAGGAAAATTCATTTTCCTTACTTCGCGTCCCCGCTCAGCGCGTACACCACTGTAGCACCACAGTCAGCACCGTTACCACTCGCGACTCTCGCATCGACAATCCTCCCGCCACCTTCGCACGTCGCACCCCGACCTCACGGCTCGGCGGGTAACCCGCGCTCCGGGCCTCCGCTTCGACACTTTTCCCAACCTCAGTCCCAGGCCCGTCACGCGACAACCACAGTCCATTACCGTTACCACTGTAGTTTCGCTATATATTCTTCGCTCATGCCTTCGCTCATTGGATTCTTGCTTCGATACCGTAGTGCAATTCTAGTTCATTCACTCAATTGCACTCGTAACATTGAGACTTATTTACCAGACTCGACTCATTTTTGCTGATTTTTGTCCCTGGTTAATTGTTTTTCGACTCATTTTCTTTCTGATTTTTGTCAGTCTGTAAGCTTGTGAGCCGATTGGACAACATTCCCACGGCTGTACATTATGGTATGGGATCAGCTCTGGTGCCGCACATGGCGGCTCTGGCTCGGCGCAACTTGGCGGGAAAACGAAGCCCAAGGTCAATAAGCGAGGAGACACGTTTTGGGTTTGGCTCGGCGGATAGCCGACATTACCGAAGGTAACCTAGCGGGAACCAGCGGCAGAGGTTCGGAGAAAGATGCCTTGCAGGTCTGCTCATGTAGAAGCTCGATGAAACATCACAGTGAATTTGACATGATTGGGCTGACGGTTGCTGTGGTGCAGAGCGGTCTAGAAATTAACGAGAACGTGTTTGTGCGGTCCTGGATGGTAGCTAGCTGCATTCGCTGCATCCCCTTTCACCCCACTCGCTCGAGTTTCTCATCTCATCTTCCCAACCGTGTCAGTCGGAGCTTGGCTTCTTGATCCACTCTGCCTAGTCACCTCGATAACTACCATTTGCTGTCGTATGCCGGTAGTTGCTTGCCAGCAGCGTGATCAGCGGTGTAGGATCCAAGCCAGGCTCGTTCGCTTCATACTCACGTCAGCGCGTCCAGTTTCGCGGGTATCTGACGTTTGGTAACGATCTTTTTGGGTCCGTCACGCTAGGTCGCATCGCGTGTTACATTCCAGTGCGATTTCGAGCTGAATAGCGTCTTATTGTTCCAGTGCCAGATATTGATTCTTCTTCGGTGCCAAGAAGCCCTTCGTCTCCAACATCAATCCTTGCACCTATTGGTCTATTCTCTGTGGAAAGTTATTTGGCCCGTCAGCTCCCTCCTGTGCGAGGTTATCTACGTATTGAAATGGGTGAGTGAGTCGCAGTTTCGACTCCTAAAGCTCCACTTCATTTGGTCTCACTGTTAGTGGTCTTATTGACATTTTTCAGTGACTCTCCAGCCGTAATAGAACTCAAATTTTACTGCCTATGCACCCAGCTCCTATATTTTGTTGCCTCGATCTTCCTTCCTTCAGTCGTTATCGTCTCGACTTATACATTTTTTTTAAAGGAGCCCGTCTGACAAAATTAGTTTCCTGTATTCGCAGCGCCCGTCAAGTCGCATTCCAAGGTCGTTTCCATCGGACGGACTCCGTTAGTGCATCCGCTGGACCCGCTGAGTCCCGCGGAGATCTCTGTCGCCCTCGCGACGGTCCGCACGGCTGGAGCTACTCCCGAGGCAAGTTACTTATCATATTTTAGTTGCTATTTTAACGTGTTTTCATGTCAAATCTAGTTAGAAAACTTACAGTTCGGTTTGATAAAAATATGCTGAAGTGACGCATATTTAGTTATCATGCGTTTCAAATACATTGATGGACCTCCTTTTGGGAAGTTCTCCCTATTTTTTCCCTCATTTTCGTGTTCCGTCACTATTGCTGATGTAACTGTTTCTTTGTTTCAGCTGCGGGATGCCATCCGCTTTATTGAGGTGGCTCTTAACGAGCCACCCAAGGACGTGGTCGCACTGGCAGACGCCTACTTCTTCCCTCCTTACCAGCACTCGGTGTACATTCCACCCGCCAACGCTCACCCTCCCACTCACAACAAACCGTCCTCCTCCTTTCCCTCCTCCTCCTCCCCCATCCCTTCCTCCACCACCACCACCCCCTCCCCCTCCGCCTCCTCCGCCGCCTCCCCCTCTCCCAAAGCGGCTGTTCTCCGCCTCCCCCCCCGGGAGGCGAGGCTGGTGACGTGGAACAAGCTGACCAATCAGACGGCGGTATGGGTGGTACAGCTGGCAGAGGTGCATGCGAGTCTCAGGGGGGGGCACCACCGTGGACGAATCAAATCGTGCCAGGTCATGGAGGACGTTCAGCCCGCCATGGTGAGTCCAGACAAAGTCAGCAATGGCGTTCAGATGCACATGCCTCTGTGTACACTCCTCCTGATGCAGTTATAGCGAATTGGGTTTTGCGAACAGACTATTGAGTTTTCTCGAGCTGAATCTTGCAGCTCCTCTCCCTCTCACTTCACTTGCCTGTCCTCAGGATGCAGTGGAGTGTGCAGAGTGCGAGGAAGCAGTGAAAGCTCACCCAGCAGGGTTGAAGCATCTTCTTTCCTCCCATCCTTTTATCATTTCCTCCCATCCTCTCACTCTTCGTTATCCTCAGTCTCTCATCCTTCCTTTTTCTCATCCCTCCATCCCCCCTACCCAGGGCGCAGTGGAGTATGCAGAGTGCGAGGCAGCAGTGAAGGCATACCCAGCACCGTCAATGCATGTTCCTTTAGCTCATCCTTTTTCTCTTATCCTCTCATCCTGCCGTCCTCTCTTCTTTCCTCCCTTCAGGACGCAGTGGAGTATGCAGAGTGCGAGGCAGCAGTGAAGGCACACCCGCCATTTCAAGAGGCGATGAGGCGACGAGGTGTCGATGACATGGACCTAGTCATGGTGGACGCGTGGTGAGTCATCAAGGCAACGTGCTTAGTTAGCGTTCTGCAATGACGGCACGAGCAAACCTGTGCTATGTACTGAAATAGATCAAGCATGCATGAATGATCATTATGCTTCATGGCATCTTATTCAGGTGTATTTATGTATATTACACCCACTAAGTCATTCTGGGCTCAGTCATTCCTCTCTCTCCATCTCCGGTGTGTTTCTTCCCTCCTAATCTCCCCTCACTCGATCCCGTTGTGTCTCCAGGTGTGTGGGGTATTACTCTGAAGCGGATCACCCCAATCGCCGCCTCGCCAAGCCGCTCATCTTCTGCCGCTTCCCCTCTGACTGCTCTTTGGACAATGGATACGCCAGGCCCGTCGAGGGTATATACGTGACGTTGGACCTGCAGGTAAGAAGATATACTCTTTATAATCACTGCCTCGTTAGCAGCACAAGCATGTTCCCCTCTGACTGCTCTTTGGACAATGGATACGCCAGGCCCGTCGAGGGTATATACGTGACGTTGGACCTGCAGGTGAGAAGATGTACCCTTTATAAGCACTGCCTCGTTAACAGTACACACACTTGTGCCCCTCTGACTGCTCTTAGGACAATGGATACGCCAGGCCCGTGGAGGGTATATACGTAACGTTGGACCTGCAGGTGAGCGTGAGCATATATACTCTTTATAAGCACTGCCTTTTTAACAGCACATTCGCATGTGCCCTTCTGACTGCTCCTCGGACAGTGGATACGCCAGGCTTGTGGAGGGCATACACGTGACTCTAGATTCGCAGGTGAGTATCCCCTCCCTATATTAGGACCCTCCCTGCTGTCGGTCAGAGCATGGCAGTGGTTAGGAGCGAGGACAGGGAGGTCATCCCTCTCCTCCCACCTCACCACCTCGAGTAACCATTGGTTGTCGGGATATAGATTTCTATTTCCCTCCTCTCCCGTCCCCTCCTACCTTTAGTTTTTAAAGCATGGAAGTGATGAGGTGCGAGGGCAGGGAGCTCATCCCCCTGCCACACTCTAGCCTTATCTCCCACCCTCACAGTCTAGCCTTATCTCCTACCCTTATATTTCTCCTCCCCTACCCCATCTCCTCCCTTCAATTCTCCCCTGCTGCTGCTCCCGTCCAGTCCATGGCAGTGATCAAGGTGCGAGGACAGGGAGGTGATCCCGCTGCCCCCACCGGACCCACTGCGCATCTACACACCAATGGATGACAGGATATATGTTTCTTCTCTCCCCCTCTCCCTGCTTCCCCTGCTGCCGTTACAGAGCATGGAAGTGATCCGCCCCGCCCGACCCGCTGCGCAACTACACGGCCGGGGCGGACAGGGGGGCCGTGGACCGCTCCGACTTGAAGCCACCACCCACTCCTCACCCCCCTCCCTTTCCCCATATCCTCCCTTTCATCCGCCCCTGCTCCTGCCCCTTCCTCTGCTGCTGCTGCTGCTCCATCTTCCCCTGCTGCCGTTACAGAGCATGGAAGTGATCAGGTGCGAGGACAGGGAGCTCATCCCCCTGCCCCCGCCCGACCCGCTGCGCAACTACACGGCCGGGACGGACAGGGGGGGCGTGGACCGCTCCGACTTGAAGCCCATCAAGATAGAGCAGCCCGAGGGGCCGAGCTTCCGCGTGAATGGATACGCTGTGGAGTGGCAGAAGGTGGGTGGATAAGAGGGATGGGATGGGGGCGGACAGGGGGGGCGTGGACCGCTCCGACTTGAAGCCCATCAAGATAGAGCAGCCCGAGGGGCCGAGCTTCCGCGTGAATGGATACGCTGTGGAGTGGCAGAAGGTGGGTGGAATGAGGGATGTCAAGGGGTTGAATACGGTGTGGAGTGGCAGAAGGTGCATGGGAGAGAATCGAGTGAGAGAATAGAGTGAGAATGGAAAGGCCAAAGGGGGGTTTTAGAGACGACAAGTGTGGGACAGGGGGGGCGTGGACCACTGTGACTTGAAGCCAGTGAAGATTGAGCAGCCTGAGGGGCCGAGCTCCGAGTGTCAGGCTATGCTTTGGAGTGGCAGAAAGTGTGTGGAAGGGGGGGAGGAGGGAGGAGGGAAGTGGAAGGCGGAATGCTGGAGGTGGATTGGGTGGTTGGGAAAGTGGGGCGGAGGGGGGCGGAGGGGAGATGGGGAAAAGGGGACTGTGATGGTTGCGTAGTTTGGTTACATGGGGAGAGAGGGGGGAAAAGGGACTGGGGGCAGATGGTTGGGTGGTTTGGGTGTGTGGTAGCAGACTGTGGGGCGTGGACTGCAGTGGTTAGAGGGGACTGCAGTGGTTAGAGGGGACTGCAGTGGTTAGAGGGGACTGCAGTGACTTGAAGCCGATCAGAGGGGAACAGCCAGATGGTTCGAGCTTCATAGCGGCGGGCCTTAACCCTTCCATCGTATTCCTCCCTACTCCTGCCCATTCCTGCCCATCTTATTCTTCCAGTGGAGTTTCCGTGTAGGGTTCACGCCTAAAGAAGGCCTGGTGCTGCATTCACTAGCCTACGACGATGGCAGCAGCGGCAGGAGGGGCGTTGCGCACCGGCTGAGCTTCTGTGAGATGGTGGTGCCGTATGGCGACCCCCACGAGCCCCACTACCGCAAAAACGCCTTCGATGCCGGCGAAGACGGGCTGGGCAAGAACGCCCACTCGCTAAAGAAGGTGCGTGGGTATGGGCAATGAGAGAGAAGCAAAGGAAGGAGGACGGGCTGGGGAAGAACACCCACTCGCGCAAAAAGGTGCGTGCTGTTGAAAAATCAAGTGTTTTGTGAGGAATGTGAGTTTCTCGAGGCGTGGTGGTGGTGGTGGTGGTGGTGCTGCTGCTGCTGCTGCTGCTGCTGCTGCTGCTGCTGCTGCTGGGGCTGCTGCTATTGGTGGGGCTGCTGGTGGGGTCAGTGAGTGAAGTCTCTGTGCCTTGCTAGACAGGCTGAGTTTTATACAACCCGCAATACTTCCATAAGTGGTTTGAGGCTCAAGAACACTTATGTTTCTTCTTCTCCTTTTCTTCTTTCCCCATCCCATTCTGTCCATGCGATTCTCCCCATCCCATATTTCCCATCCATTTCTTTCCCCAGGGATGTGACTGTCTAGGGTTGATCCGCTACTTTGACGCGCACATGAGCAACTTTCTCGGTGGCGTCGAGACGATAGAGAACGCCGTGTGCATGCATGAGGAGGACCATGGCATGCTCTGGAAGCACGTGGACTGGCGCTCGGGGCACACGGAAGTGAGGCGGTCGAGAAGGCTCGTGCTCTCGTTTGTGTGCACGGTGGCCAACTACGAATACGGCTTCTTCTGGTATCTCTATCAGGTGGGTGTGTCAGTGGGAGCGTTGAGGGAGGGCGAGGAGAGGAGGTACGCATCACATTCCCCCCTCTTCCACTCAATGCCCTCAACCCCTCAACCCCCTCAACAGGACGGCAAGATAGAGGCACAGGTGAAGCTCACCGGCATCTTATCAGTGGGAGCGCTGAGGGAGGGCGAGGAGCGGAGGTACGGCACGCTGCTGGTACCGGGGCTGTACGCTTTCATCCACCCCCTTCGTTTCCCCACTCCCTTGACTAACCCTACTACCTCCACTCTCCCACTCCCCTTACTCCCCTTCCTCTTCCCTGCTCTCTTCCCTCCTCTCTTCCCTCCTCCCCTCTCTTTACACTCTTCCACACCACAGGATGGCAAGATCGAAGCACAAGTAAAGCTGACGGGCATTCTGTCGGTGGGCACTCTGAGGGAGGGCGAGGAGCGCAAGTACGGCACGCTGCTGGCGCCGGGGCTGTATGCTCCCATCCACCCCCTTCATTCACTCAAAGACCTCAACCCCTCCCCACACCACAGGATGGCAAGATCGAAGCGCAAGTAAAGCTCACGGGGATCCTATCAGTGGGCACTCTGAGGGAGGGCGAGGAGCGCAAGTATGGGACACTGCTGGCGCCGGGGCTGTATGCTCCCATCCACCAGCACTTCTTTGTGGCTCGCATGGACATGGCTGTTGACTGCCGCCCGGGCGAGCAGGCTAATCAGGTGAGGGCGTTAGGATGCATGGCAAAGGCAAGGCGTTTAGTTGCTGCACGAGATGCCGCTAGTGCTCGGCCTCTCTGCCCCCATGCACCCATCCATCCATCCATCCGTCCATCCATCCATCCGTCCGTCCGTCCGTCCGTCCGTCCGTCCGTCCGTCCGTCCGTCCGTCCGTCCGTCCATCCATCCATCCATCCATCCATCCATCCATCCATCCATCCATCCATCCATCCATCCATCCATCCATCCATCCATCCATCCATCCATCCATCCATCCATCCATCCATCCATCCATCCATCCATCCATCCATCCATCCATCCATCCATCCATCCATCCATCCCTCCGTCCGTCCGTCCGTCCGTCCGTCCGTCCGTCCGTCCGTCCGTCCATCCATCCATCCATCCATCCATCCCTCCGTCCCTCCGTCCGTCCATCCGTCCATCCATCCATCCATCCATCCATCCATCCATCCATCCATCCATCCATCCATCCATCCATCCATCCATCCATCCATCCATCCATCCATCCATCCATCCATCCATCCATCCATCCATCCATCCATCCATCCATCCATCCATCCATCCATCCATCCATCCATCCACCCATCCATCCATCCCTCCATCCCTCCGTCCCTCCGTCCGTCCGTCCGTCCATCCATCCATCCATCCATCCATCCATCCATCCATCCATCCATCCATCCATCCATCCATCCATCCATCCATCCATCCATCCATCCATCCATCCATCCATCCATCCATCCATCCATCCATCCATCCATCCATCCATCCATCCATCCATCCATCCATCCATCCATCCATCCATCCATCCATCCATCCATCCATCCATCCATCCATCCATCCACCGGCGCTTCTTCGTGGCTTGCATGGACATGGCTGTGGATTGAAGCCCAGGGGAGAATGCCAACCAGGTATGGTTGGCCCCACAACCCATGTGCGAATGACCAAGTTCCCTTAATGAGCCGATATTTTCTGCCCCTACCCCCTCCTTCCCCTACATCTGGTGGTGGAGCTGAACGTGAGGATGGAAGGGGAGGGAAAAACCCCCACAACCCATGTGCGATGGCGCCCCACTCTCGGAATCCTCCCACCCACCCCTCTCTCTCTTCCTATCATCAGGTGGCGGAGCTGAATGTGAGGATGGAAGGGGCAGGCCCGCACAACCCTCATGCGAATGCCTTCTATGCAGAGGAGAGGGTGCTTCGGACAGAAGGCGAAGGGATGAGAGACGTGGATCCCATGTCTGCCAGGCACTGGCTGGTGAGTGGGTGACTGAGCAATTGGGGGCGTATAGAGAGAGAGGGCATTTGGACTGCTGTCTATGCGGTGCTTTGGACAGAGGGCATGAGAGGCGTGGATCCCATGTCTGCCAGGCACTGGCTGGTGAGTGGGTGACTGAGCAATTGGGGGCGTATAGAGAGAGAGGGCATTTGGACTGCTGTCTATGCGGTGCTTTGGACAGAGGGCATGAGAGGCGTGGATCCCATGTCTGCCAGGCACTGGCTGGTGAGTGAATGAGGGAGTGAGTGTGAGAGTGAGAGAGGGCGTTTTCCTTTGTTCGCCTGCGAAAGGAGAGGGTTGTGCGGACAGAGGGCGAGGGCATGCGGGATGTGGACCCCATGTCTGCCAGGCACTGGCTGGTGAGTGGGAGGGCATTCGTCTGAAAGCACTGAATAAGGAGTGTGCTCCATTTTGTTACATGGTACATTCATAACACCACTTACTTCTGTTGTCCATTTCTCGGTTTGCCTGTTTCTTTGGGCCCTATCTTTCTTGGTGCAGATCCAAAACACTCGGGCAGTCAACCGGGCAGGTCGTCCAACAGCCTACAAGCTCGTGCCAGGGTCCAACTGCCTGCCCTTCTCGCAGCCCGAGGCGAAATTTCTCCGCCGGGCAGCTTTCCTGAAGCACAACCTGTGGGTCACGCCGTACCACCCGGAGGAACGGTTTCCGGGCGGCGAGTTCCCGAACCAGAACCCCAGGATCGGCGATGGGCTGTCCTCGTGGGTGCAGCAGAACAGATCGATCGACAATGCTGATGTGGTGCTCTGGTAAGTGATGCCTCGGTATGTGGTGCCTTAATATGTGGCAAGCCTGCTTTTGTTATAAAGCTGACGTGGTGCATGGAAGCCAGTCCTTCTCTTATTTTCCTTGTGCCGTGCATCGTCCACTGTGACCAAATCAGCTTTTAGTTTTCACTACTTTTTATATGTTTCCCTCGTCCCCTTCCATTGCATTCTCAACATTGCATTGCATTCCCATCCCACCTGTTGTGTGCAGGTACGTGTTTGGCCTCACTCACGTCCCACGGCTGGAGGATTGGCCCGTCATGCCCTGTGAATACCTCGGTTTCTGCCTCATGGTGAGTCGGTGCTTGTTTTTTTTTTTATGCCTGGGAGGTATGTTGAGTGGACTCAAACATGTTCCATGGCTAGAGGATTGGCCGGTGTTACCCTGTGAATACCTCGGCTTCTGCCTCATGGTGAGTCAGAGGTTGATTTGAGGGGCCTCATAGGAACAAGTCTAGCCTTACACACATCCCTCCCTTCCACGGCTGGAAGATTGGCCCGTCATGCCGTGTGAATACCTCGGCTTCTGCCTCATGGTGAGTCAATGCTATAGTCATATTGAGTGTCATGTGAATGTATTAGCTTTATTCTGTGGTAACCTGCGGCAACATGTATGCACCATCACCAGTGCATGCATGTTGCACTGGTTATGGTGCAAAAGAGTTTTTGGTATGGAGTCGATTCCATTCTTTTTACCTCGTTACAACCTTGGTGTGTTTCATTCACCACTGAACTGCATATATTTACTGATTCCTGGAACATGTACGCCAATGTTGGCCAAATTATTTGGTTTACAATATCTTCTATTGTTTGTAACACTGAATTCACCCTCATGGTTTGTTTGTGTTTGTGCGTGCAGCCACATGGTTTCTTCAACATATCTCCTGCAGTTGATGTTCCTCCTAGCGAACCTGAAAATGCCGCCCAAACAGGCACTGTTTCTACACCTAGCGCTAGCAAAGATGGGAACTGCTGTAGTGAGACGACTCTGCCAAGCCTCGCGTCAAAACTCTAGAAATGTGGCGGCATTCTCGTGGATGGTGTATCTATTGTTTATTATTATTCAAGTTTGAGCATCCCTTAGTTTTAGTATAGTGCTTTACAAACGCAACAAAAATTGGTACCATAAGATGATATTAGAGCGCTGTTGTATCGGATCCGGCTGGCTATTTTGCCGACTCCCTCGCCATGTCAGGCGGGAATTTAAATTTTCAGTATGCCAGCAGCTCCAGGTTCTAGTCTGGTCACTGCCTTATCCTCTAAGGAGCAACTTAGTGGTATGCCACGTGCCTTCTTCCCGTAGCAGATTCCCTCAATCTCTAGCGACCTGCGTGGTATGGTTTCTGTTGGTACGGAATTATTCATTCAAGTACAGTTGCGTTCGTCTGGTCACGCATTTCTCGGAGATAGTTCTCTTCACTCTCCAGAAACTCTCCAAGCGCCTCAAATCCGCTTCGCGCTCCGAGATTAGGTTTTGCCCACTTTCATCATTCGAAGCACCTGTTAGGAGAAAGGACGATAGCTAAGTTGAAAGGGTTTCAAATGAAGAAAACCCGATAGTGTCGATTAACTAAGGACGCGAAGGCAATCAAGTTGCGGAGAGAGGGCGGGTAAAGGGAGTGGCGAGGCGGCATGGTCCGAAGGCAGATAGCGCGCAGTGGAAACGAGCAGGGGGCTAGTAATGGCCTGCGACCCGCGGGTGACGCTAGCGGGGGTACGCGTGACACTAGCGCGGGGGGTATGCGTGACACTAACGGGGGTGCGGAGAGGGAGCAGCGGGAAGCGGTTGCAGAGAGGGCGCGTGATCCGGAGAAGAGAACCCCAGCGGAGGCTGTGGCAGGAAGATTCCAACCGGCAGGCCGTGAGGGCGTTGCTGCGTCACAAAGCCCTGACTCTGACAGACGTTCCGATAACTCTCAAAATATTTTCGAGAAATCTACAAAGTCTTTCACGGGGACTGCAGAGGAGGCTATGGCGGGGGTTCTCCAACCAGCAGGCTTGGAGGCCGTTGATACGTCCCGAAGCCTGGAAAGACGTTCTGATATCCGTTTGGCGAAAGAATCGCGTCAGCAAGGCTCTCTGGCGGGCGAGGGGCAGCACCCAGTAGTTCCGGAAGGCGAATCTGAAGCCCGTCTATCAAAGGAGTCGCGTCAGCAAGCGGCTTCAGCTGGCGAGGCTTTTTGTGAGGCACCTCAATCACGGCCAGTAGACTCAGAGGGCCAATCTGAGCCCCGTTTGGTGAAGGAGAAGGAATCGTGTCAGCAAAGTCCTTTGGTCGGCGAGTCTTCTCAAGAGCAAGTGTTCTCTTCCGACTGCTGCGAGGCAGGAGGCTGTCAGGGACTCTCGATACGGGAGCAGTACGAAAGGGAGTTTGGTGGTTACCTGCGTGGTTACAGGTTCGCCCATCCTGCTGCTGCGGCTGGTGCTGTTGATGCTGGTGCTGGTGGTTCGGGTGTTCCTGCTAGAGCTGATGCAGCTGGTGGTGCTACAGCGGGTGCGACAGCCGGTGCTACAGCTGGGGGGTTGAGTGTGGAGGAGTTCAGGGCTTTGGAATGCCCTCAGCTGAAAGGTGGGTGTGGGAACAATGAATGGTCGCTACAGCCCGTGCTACAGCCGGTGCTACAACAGGCGGTTTGAGTGTGGAGGAGTTCAGGGCTTTGGAATGCCCCTCAACTAAAAGGTGAGCGTGAAAACTACGGACGGTCAATGCTATAGATATAACCGTTTCTTTTGTTGCTGAAAGGTGGTACCACAGCTGGTGCTACAGCCAGTGGTGCTACAACGGCTGGGGGATTGAGTGTGGAGGAGTTTAGGGCTTTGGAGTGCCCCCAGCTGAAAGGTGAGTGTGAAAACGAAAGGTGAGCTTGCCCTCAGCTGCTGCTACAGCCGGTGGTGCTACAGCCGGTGGTGCCATAGCCGGTGGTTTGAGTGTGGAGGAGTTTAGGGCTTTCGAGTGCCCCCAGCTGAAAGGTGAGCGTGAAAACAGTGATCGGTCAATTTACATGTTAGTAATGCAATCTTATCTTGCGTTTCTGAAAGGTGGTGCTACGGCCAGTGCTAGCAACAGCAGCAGTTTACGCTCGCAGGTCGCAGCAGCCGCAGCAGCTCTCCCTCTCTTGTCTTCCCCCAACTATCTTGACCCTGTGTCTATCTTGACCATGCAGCAGCAGCAGTATACACACGCTCGCAGGTCACAGCAGCAACAGCATCTCTCACTCTCTCTCTTTCCTCTTTTCCTCGCTCCACCTTCCCCACACCACACCTCAGGCTGTGTCTATCTGGACCATGCAGCAGCAGCAGCAGTATACACTCGCTCGCAGGTCGCAGCAGCCACCAGAGCCCTCACTCTCTCTGGCCTTTTCCTCGCTCCATCTTCCCACCACCATATTGCAGGCTGCGTCTACCTCGACCATGCAGCAGCAGCAGTATACAGGCGCTCGCAGGTCGTAGCAGCAACAAGAGCCTTCATTCACTTGTCTTTCTCCCTTGTTTCCTCCCATCCTTCAACTCACCTCAGGCTGCGTCTATCTCGACCATGCAGCAGCAGCAGTGTTAACACTCTCGCAGGTCACAGCAGCAAGCAATAAGAGCCCTCACTCACTTGTCTTTCTCCCATGTATCTCGCCGTGCACCACATCCCAGGCTGCGTGCACCAGAGCCCTCACTCACTTGTCTTTCTCCCATGTATCTCGCCGTGCACCACATCCCAGGCTGCGTGCACCAGAGCCCTCACTCGTCTTTCTCCCATGTATCTCGCCGTGCACCACATCCCAGGCTGCGTGCACCAGAGCCCTCACTCACTTGTCTTTCTCCCAAATATCTCGCCGTGCACCACATCCCAGGCTGCGTGCACCAGAGCCCTCACTCACTTGTCTTTCTCCCATGTATCTCGCCGTGCACCACATCCCAGGCTGCGTGTACCTCGACCATGCAGCAGCAGCGGTGTACACACGCTCGCAGATTGCAGGCAGCCACCAGAGCCCTCACTCTCTTTGGCCCCTTTTCCTCGCTCCACCTTCTCACCACCATATTGCAGGCTGTGTGTATCGCGACCATGCAGCAGCAGCGGTGTACACACGCTGGCAGGTTGCAGCAGCTACCAGAGCCTTCAATCTCTCCATCATCCTTTCTTCCCCCCTCTCCTCATGCACCACATCAGGCTGCGTGTATCTTGACCATGCAGCAGCAGCAGTGTACACTCGCTCGCAGGTCACAACAATCATGAGAACCCTCACCAAACTGTCTGATTTCTCCCGTCATTCCCATCCACCATCGCACCTCAGCCTGCGTCTACCTCGACCATGCAGCAGCAGCAGTTTACACGCGCTCGCAGGTCGCAGCAGCACATCAGCCCTCATTCCCTCCCTCATCTGTTCCCCCCCCTCTTCCCCAATGCACCGCATGTCAGGCTGTGTGTATCTGGACCATGTAGCAGCTGTTTACACTCGCGCGCATGTCGCAGCACTAGCAACAGCTCTCCTCTAACTCTAAACCTCTTCTCTCCCGCCCTCCTTCCCCTCCCTACAACATCTCAGGCTGTGTGTATCTGGACCATGCAGCAGCAGCAGTATACACTCGCTCGCAGGTTGCAGCAGCTACCAGAGCCCTCACTCGTTCCCTCTTTTCCAACCCTCGTGAGCACTCTCCTCCCATAAACACATTCCTCGCTTTCTCACTTTCCTCGTTCTCTCACTCTCCTCGCTCTCTCACTTCCCTCCCTCACACATTGCAGTGATTGCATAGGGAAAAGTATTCTCAGCTCCCTCCCTCCCTCTCATCCAATCCTGTCTAATGATTTCCCATTCTTGTACGTGGCTCCTCCTGCTTGCGACAGTGCATTTATTGGCCGAATTTTCCTCCCCACCTTCCCCCCCCTTTCTTCCTCCGTGTCTGCACGTTAATCATTCCTTCCCACTCTATTCCCTCTGTTCCTTTTTTTCTCGTTACAGACAGCGCCAGTAGCAGCAGTGCGGCCACGTCTGACGCGATCGAATCACTTCGCATGCAGGTAGGCAGGCTTTGAAATGGAAGCAGGTAATCACTTGACTTACACCTTAACCAGGATCATGTCATTGTTTTGCCGACTCAAAAATCGACTCAAAATCTTGAGTCAACTCAAAAATCATGCAGATAGGCAGTCTAGTCTGTCAGCTGTCAGTTGACTTACACTCTCTAACCAGGATCAGCTTCATATCCATTAACCTCATACATCTCCATTTATCATCCCAAGGCGACTTGTGAGTGGTTAACTCTCGAATCGATGTTGGCGTCGACTGAAAAGAAATGCCGAGCAGGTTGACTTGACGTACACCCATTCATATCCATAAGCCTCGTACAATTCTATCTAGCACCCCAAGGTGACTTTTGGGTGGACATTTGAGTTGACTTAAAAAGAAATGCCAAGCAGGTTGACGTACACACACCCATTCATATCCATAAGCCTCGTATCCTCCCATTCTATCACCCATTCTCCATCTATCACCGCTGCTGCCCTTCAGGTCCTTGCCATGTGCAATGCCCCTCCCCGCTACGACTGTGCTGTGCCTTCACCAGTGTTGCCACGTCCTGCAAACTCTCATGGACACTCCTTTGTATTTGTACTAATTTGTGTTCCACTCTCCAACTCTCGATTCATCACCCCACCCCTTCCCTTCAGGTGCTAGCCATGTGCAATGCGCCTCCCTCCCAGTACGCTTGCGTCTTTACCAGTGGTGCCACGTCAGCACTCAAAACGGTCGGCGAGGCATTCAGATGGACGGCGGACAGCGAGCTGGCAATGACGCTGGACAACCACAACTCGGTGCTGGGGATCAGAGAGTAAGATAGTCTCACGTAGTGAGTAATGAAGAGGAAACCCAGCTGGGTCAGTCAGTGTGGTGTGGTGTTTAGATGGGCGGCAGGCACTGGGCTGGCAATGACGCTGGACAACCACAACTCGGTGCTGGGGATCAGAGAGTAAGATAGTCTCACGTAGTGAGTAATGAAGAGGAAACCCAGCTGGGTCAGTCAGTGTGGTGTGGTGTTTAGATGGGCGGCAGGCACTGGGCTGGCAATGACTCTGGACAACCACAACTTGGTGCTGGGGATCAGAGAGTAAGAGGAGTGGGAAAGTGGGAGGGGACAGTGCTGTGGGGTCAAAGGGTGGATGGAGGGGCGTTCACATGGGCAGCAGGGAGGCAGCGAGCTGGCAATGACTCTGGACAACCACAACTCGGTTCTGGGCATCAGAGAGTAAGTGCTGGGTGTAGGAGGGGAAGGCGTTGGTGATTTGGAGGGACAGTGCTGTGGGGTCAAAGGGTGGATGGAGGGGTGTTCAGATGGGTGGCAGGCAGTGAGCTGGCGATGACGTTAGACAACCACAACTCGGTGCTGGGGATGAGAGAGTAAGACTTGGGGGGAATAGGAGGGACAGTGCTGTCGGGCCAAAGGGTGGATGGAGGGGTGTTCAGATGGGTGACAGACAAGTAAGCAGCTGGGGCGATGACAGTCGGACAACCACAACTCGTTGCTGGGGATCAGAGAGTTGAGTAAGGATTGGAAGGGGTGGGAGCGGAGAGTGTTTTGGGTTTAGAGGGAGGGATGGAGGGGCAGACAAGCAGCTGGCGATGACGCTGGCTGGACAACCGCAAATCGGTGCTGCGGATCAGAGAGTAAGGACTGGGGAGAGTATGATGGGAGGGTGGTTGGAGGGTTGAGAGGGAAGAGGAAGGAGATGGGCGGCTGGCAGCGAGCTGGCAATGACGGTGGACAACCACAACTCGGTTTTGGGAATGAGAGAGTAAGGGGTTTTTTTTTTCGGTTGAGGATGTAGTGAGTAATGAAGAGGAAAGTTAGCTGGGTCAGGTCAGGGTGACTTCCTGATATGTGGGCGGCTGGCAGCGAGCTGGCAATGACGGTGGACAACCACAACTCGGTGCTGGGGATCAGAGAGTAAGGAAGAAAGAGGGAAAGTGTTTCTGGGAGAGGGAGATGGATGAAGAGGAGGGGATGTTTTGATCAGGTGGGTGGCAGACAGCCGGCTCGCAATGACGTTGGACAACCACAACTCGGTGCTGGGGATCAGAGAGTAAGAATAGTTCTTTTGAGACGTCTCAAAAGGAAGAATAGTTCGGATTCTATGCACTCACAGATACACCGAGTTTTGTGTTGTTGTTTGTTTGTTTTCCTTTTAGGGGGGTTGGTTGGGTTGCCATAAGATGGCTTACAACAATGCTGTTAGTGTGGCGCGATAATAATGATGTGTTGTGTCGTGTTGCTGTGTGCAGGTATGCTCTTAGAGCTGGTGCTACAGTGTCTGTTGTTGATATTCGCTATGAGGATGACTATATGGGGGATGAGGAGGAAGAGGAGGAGGAACAAGGGGGCGATGAGGATGAGAGTGAGAGTGGGAGTGAGGCTGGGAGTGAATATGAGAGTGGAAATGAGAGTGAGAGTGAGAATGGGAGTGAGAATGGGAGTGAGAATGGAAATGACAAACAGGAGAGGAGAGTGGAGAAGGTGGGAGTGGATGAAGTGAGGATAATGAAGGAGGAATTTAAGGAAGAAGAGGGAGGAGAGGATGAAGAACAGGAGGAGGAAGAAGGAGCAGAGGAGGATGAAGAAGAAGAAGCAGAGGAGGAAGAAGAAGCAGAGGAGGAGGTGGAAGAGGAGGAAGAGGAGGAAGAGGATGAAGATGAGGAGGAAGAGGATGAAGAGGATAGGAGGGCGGGTGTGAGGTTGGGTAGTGGGAGGAAGGTCCGATTTGCTTTGCGTGGGAGGAGGAGCAAACGTAAGAGGGCGGAGGAGGAGGAGGAAGAGGTGGAAGAGGAGGAAGAGGAGGAGGAGGAGGAGGAGGAGGAGGAGGAGGAGGAGGAGGAGGAGGAGGAGGAGGAGGCGGAGGAAGAGGAGGAGGAGGAGGAGGAGGAGGAGGAGGAGGAGGAGGAGGAGGAGGAGGAGGAGGAGGAGGAGGAGGAGGAGGAGGAAGAGGAGCAGGAGGAGGATGAGGAGGAGGAAGAATCAGAAGCAGAAGATGAAGAAGAGGGGAAAGTAGGAGTGAGGGTAGGTGGAAGAAAGAAGGTTCGAGTGGTCTTACATGGGAGCAGCAGGAGTAAGCGCAAGGGAGCAACAGAAGAGGAAGAGGAAGAGGAGGAGGAAGAAGAGGAGGAAGAGGAAGAAGAAGAGGAGGAAGAAGAGGAAGAGGAAGAAGAGGATGAGGGAGAGGAGGATGAGGGAGAGGAGGAAAGGATGGGCGTGAGGTTAGGTGGCAAGAAGAAGGTTCGAGTGGTCTTACCTGGGAACAGCAGGAGTAAGCGCAAGGGAGCAACAGAGGAGGAAGAGGAAGAGGAGGACGAAGAAGCGGAGGAGGATGAGGAGGAGGACGAAGAAGAGGAAGAGGAGGGAACGGTGGGAGTGTTGGTGAGAAGGAGGAAGGTTCGATTGGCGTTAGCTGGCAGCAGCAGGAGCAAGCGCAGTGATGTGGTGGGAAAGGAAGCTGAAGCAGTCTCTGCCGGTGGTTGTACTGGTAATGTGCGGCAACCCCTAAGTGCTGCAGATGTCAATTTGAATGCACGGACTGGTGAAGCAGTGGGGCCAGCAGCAGCGATTGTGAGTGGGAGGGACGGTGAACCTGTAGGGGCAGCAGCGAGTGTGAGGACAGGTGAACCTGTGGGGACAGCAGCAGATGTGAATGCGAATGCAGGGACAAGTGAACCTGTGGGGGGAGCAGCAGCGAGTGTGAGTGTGAGGACTCCTGAACCTGTGGGGGCAGCAGCACTTGCCGAAACCAACCCTTCTGATTCCACTGTTCTTGCCGAACCAGTGCTGACCGAACCACAGAATGGCAGGGCTGTTTCCGAGCCTGGACAGGAGGTTCGGCCAGGTGTGGCTGCTCCAGCTGTGGCTGGGGATGGTGGGGCCGGAGCTAGTGGGAGTGGGGCGGGTGAGACTGGGGCAGGTGGGACTGGGGCAGGTGGGACTGGGGCAGGTGGGACTGGGGCAGGTGGGACTGGGGCAGGTGGGACTGGCTTAGGAGGAAGAAGTGAGGAGAAGGGCCATGAGGGAAAAAGGGGTGGAGAGGCAGGATCAGGGTCAAGGGATGTGAGAACAGAGCATGAGAGGCCTTCTGAGTCGTCTCAACTGTCAAGGGATACAAGGGCAAGGGGCATGAAACAGCATCGAGCGGCGGATCGGAAGGGTAGAAGGGTGGATGGAATGGTGGATGGTTGTCCAAAGGGCACAGTCCTTCGAGGGGTGGTAGAGGGGGTGTCCCTTCGCCTGCTGAACCGATTCTCTCGGGCAGCAAGGGAAGGGAAGGCAAGGGAACACGAGGCACCAAAAGCGCCAACGGCACGACGGGAAGAAGCTGTTTCAAAGCCGCCTGAAGAGGTGTTTTCAGGGGCAGGGAAGGAGGAGGAGCGGCAGCAGCGGCGGCGAAGGCAGAATCAGGAGGGGCAGGAGGAGTTGCCGTTTGTCCCATGCCTGTTTGCAATGCCTGCAGAAAGTAATCTTAGCGGCGAGAAGCTTGATCTGAGGGTGGTGCGGGCGGTGAAGGAGGAGAGGTGTTTGGATGGGTGGGAGGGGTGGAGCCGGGAGGACAGAGGAGTGGAGAGCGGTGATGGTAGGAGACGAGGCAGGGGGAGAGGGAAAAGGAGAAGTGAGAAGGGAATCGAGGAGGAAAGAGAGCAAGGGAGAGAGAAGGGAGGGGATGGCACAACAACTGCTGGTGCCTCTCAAACTCAACAACAACAACAGCAGCAGCAGCAGCAGTTGCCTGCACGCAAGAGAGCATGGGGCGGCCTCTGGGGTTGGCTGGGAGGAAGTCGTGGGACATCCGGTGCAGCAGATGAGGATCAAGGGCAGGTCGATAGCAATGGTGTGGCGACTGGTGGTGGAGCTGACAGGGGTGCTGGTGGTGGGAAGGCCCAGGGTACAGATGCTGTACGCACGGAGAGCAGTGGCAGGGTGACTCGGGGCCATGAAGCTGATAGGGAGGGTGGTGGTCGGGATGGGAGTGGTAGGAGTCGTACTGGTCGTGGTGGTGATGGTGGATGCAGTGGTGAAAGTGCTTCTTCGTCCCCGCTTCCCCGGCGCTGGTTTGTGCTTCTCGATGCTGCCAAAGCTGCTGCCTCGGACCCTCCGGACCTCTCTCAGTGCCCTGCTGACTTCGTCGCACTCTCCTTTTACAAGGTGGACTGTCCTTACCCCTCTCCACCCCTCGTCACCCCTCTTCATCCCTCTCCACCCCTCCTCACCCTGCTCCACCCCTCCTCACACCTCTTCACCCCTCTCCATCTCTCCCTCTCCCCACGCCACTCACTACCCTACTGACTCCGTTGCCCTCTCCTTCCACAAGGTGGGTTGCCCCCTCCTCTCCATACCTCCTCCCTCCATTTCTCGTTCTCTCCATACGCCCTCCTTTCCACTCTTTCTGGCCTCCCTCGCGTATATCCCTCGCTCTTCGCATCTCTCTCCCTCTGACTTTCTTGATGTCCATCGCAATTCCTAGCCGCCTTCTTTCCACTCTGCACCACCTGACTAGTCACTATCACCATTTCTCGCAACTCCCCCCACTTTGATTATGTACCATCTCGTGCCTTCACCCTTTTTGTCCCGCTATAAGCAGATCTTTGGATTCCCTACAGGCCTTGGAGCCCTAATCATCCGGCGAGGTATGTATGCCATTCTCTCTTTTTCAAATGCTTCTCTTTTCTCAAGTGCCCCTTATTCTCATATGCCTTTCTCTTCTCAGATGCTTTTCTCTTCACATGTGCTTCCTTACTGCCATCAGCCAACATCCCTTCACCTTGTGTCATCCCTTTCCTCAATCCTTGCCTCCCACATGTGTACGCTACACGCCAACTTGTGCGTCTCATTCAGATTCTGCTTTCATTCTCCGCAAGCCCTACTTCAGTGGAGGTACGAGTATCGACTGTCGATGCACCGTAGAACTCGCAAGGCAAATTAGAGTCGACTCAAAATTGTGCCTATGCTTCTCTCGCTCCCAAATTCTGCTTTCATTCTCCGCAAGCCCTACTTCAGTGGAGGTACGAGTAGCATGTTATTGTTGGCATGTGAATGACACAGTGACATGGTGACAGTAGCAGGCAGTAGCGAGGTGACTCTGCACGCAACTTTTCCCTCCCTCCCAGATGCTGCTTTCATTCTTTGCAATTCGCTCTGGCAATTCGCATGAAAAACTTGCCTGTGCCTCTCTCCCTAGCTCTGCTTTCATTCTCTGCAAGCCCTACTTCAGTGGAGGTACGCATTGCAGCGTGCTCTTATTGGCATGTATTTGACACAGTGACAGTGGTAGCGTGCATAGTGACTCTGCCTGTGCCTCTCTCCCTGGCTCTGCTTTCATTCTCTGCAAGCCCTACTTCAGTGGAGGTACGCATTGCAGCGTGCTCTTATTGGCATGTATTTGACACAGTGACAGTGGTAGCGTGCATAGTGACTCTGCCTGTGCCTCTCTCCCTGGCTCTGCTTTCATTCTCTGCAAGCCCTACTTCAGTTGAGGTACGCATTGAATGTGCACGACACAGTAATAGTTGGACAGAGTGGCTTGGCGACACTACTAGCTAGCTAGCATGTTGAACCTGTGCCTCTCATCATCTGCTGCTTTCATTCTTCGCAATTCGCTCAGGCAAGTCGCATGAAAACTTGCCTGTGCCTCTCATCATCTGCTGCTTTCATTCTTCACAATTTGCTCAGGCAAGTCGCATGAAAACTTGCCTGTGCCTCTCATCATCTGCTGCTTTCATTCTTCGCAATTCGCTCAGGCAAGTCGCATGAAAACTTGCCTGTGCCTCTCTCTCAGATGCTGCTTTCATCCTCTGCAACCGCGTTTCAGTGGAAGTACGATTTGCACGGTCTTGTTGGCATGAGCCACATACAGGCAATAGAAGCAGGAATGGTAGCAAGAATGTGATGTCTGGGATGGTGCAATCGCACCGTGACATGTGGTGGTGACAACACGTGGTAACATCACATGTTGGTAATCTTGGTAGCATGTATCCAACACTCTCTCCTCTCTCCTCCCTCTTCCTTTCCCGCTTCCCTGTCGCAGGCACCGTGGCAGCAGTTCTACCAGTCCCCGACTTTGTCCCTCACTGTTCTCTCCTCGCTTAACATAGAAGCACAGGCCTCCGGCAGTGGGAGGACAGAACCATGCACGTCCTCCACCTCTCTCCATTCTCCACATCCTCTCTCTATTTCGCCCCTCACAGGCACCGTGGCAGCAGTGTTTGCAGACTCCGACTTAGTCTCTCTGCGCCCATCACTCGAAGCACAGTGGGAGGACGGCACGCCCCCCTTCCTCCAGCTGGCAGCAGAGCTTCCCCCAGGCCTCGCCCTGGTCTCCCGCCTCTCATTCTCCGCCATCCAACGGTGAGCCCTTACCATCCGGAGCCCTACTACTAACCTGTGCTTGCAAGCCTTGCCTTACTACTAACCTGTGCTTGCAAGCCTTGCCTTACTACTAACCTGTGCTTGAAAGCCTTGCCTTACTACTAACCTGTGCTTGCTAGCCTTGCCCATGGGGTGGCGAAGCCTTATGGGCGAGGGCACGCAGGGGGGTCTCGAACAGGTGAGGGCTCGCACAGGTGAGGACAATTGAGGGAAGGCTGAGATCTTCGCCACCCCATGGGCAGCCACGTCTCCTCACTCGCACTCTTCACCGCCTCTCTTGCTGCTGCTGCTGCTGCTGCTGCTGCAGAGTCTTGAGGCGTCTCAACACTTGCTTTCCCCTCCATTTCTGTTGTCTCCCCAATCCCTACAGCCACGTCTCGTCTCTTGCACTCTTCACCACCTCTCGCCTCCTCTCCCTCCGCCACTGCAACGGCCAGCACGTCTGCATCGTGTATGGAAGGCACAGGGCCTTGTTGCTGCATCTTGAACAGAGCAGAGTCGTAGATCGGGAGAGGCGAGCGTCTTCTGATTCGATTGAGAAGAATGGAGTGGTGGATTTGCAGGGACGAGAGGAGGAACGAGAGGCAGTGTTGAAGCAGCAGGGGGGGGTGGTGGCGTTTAACCTGAAGCGCAGCGATGGATCGTGGGTGGGGCACAAGGAGGTGGAGAAGCTGGCAGCCATCCACAGCATTCATCTCCGGGTATGTATGCTCTTGACCTCTAAAGTCGGATTCAACCTGAGGCACAACATGGGTGGTGGATGGGACACGAGGAGATGGAGAAGCTAGCTGGCATCCCCAACATTCAAATCCTAGTAACAAGAAGTAGCAGCAAATGCATGCATATCCACAGCAGTTGACGGATCTTAGTCGCAGCGATGGGTGGTGGGTGGGGCATAAGGAGGTTGAGAAGCTAGCGGCCATCCATCTCCGAATGAATTGCGCGCCCGATTGCTGGGATAACACTAAATAACCCGGTTGCTTTTGCCATCAATTCTTATCCTCCCCTCTTCCATATATCATACCGGTTGCTTTTGCAAACCGTGCGCCTGTGCAAAGCACCTTCACTTGTCTCATCCCCACCCCCTCCGAAACTACGAGGCGGGGCACGTGTGGTGGGATGACAACGATGTGATTGCTCCACTCCAACCCTCCCTTTCACACCCACCTCCCCCCCTATCTACCAGACTGGTTGTTTCTGTAACCCGGGTGCCTGCGCCAAGCACCTCCACTTGTCTCATCCCCACCCCCTCCGAAGCTACGAGACGGGGCACGTGTGCTGGGATGACAACTGTTGTGCAGCAAGTATTTCCCAGTGCGTAGTTTCTCACCTTTGGTCTTAGAGGTCGTGGGTTCATCTCTTCAGCAGCTGCACTTTCCATTCTCATTATGCTCACCATTACATGTCTACACTCCACGACACTCACCCATGCTCGGTACTTGAGTGGTAGAGTGTGGACATGTGATGGTGAGCAAATGAGAATGGAAAGTGCAGCTGCTGAGAGTTGAACCCACGACCTCTAAGACCAAAGGTGAGAAACTACCAACTGTGACATATTTGCTACTCAACACCCAACAACGATGTGATTGCTCCACTCCAACCCACCCTTTCACACCCACCTCCCCCCTTATCTACCAGACTGGTTGTTTCTGCAACCCTGGTGCCTGTGCCAAGCACCTGCGCCTCTCCCACTCCCAACTCCTCGAGAATTACGAGGCGGGGCACGTGTGTTGGGACGACAACGACGTGATTGCCGGGCGGCCGACTGGCGCCGTGATTTTTCCGATCAGTCCCTTTCTCCCCTCTCCCACATGCGACAGACCGGTTGTTTCTGCAACACAGGAGACTGTGCCAAGCACCTGCGCCTCTCCCACTCCCACCTCCGCCAAAATTACGGAGGCGGGGCATGTGTGTTGGGATGACAACGACGTGATTGGCTACTGCAATCCCATCACCATTCTTCCTCTTTTTCTTGTTCCCCCATGCACCAGACTGGTTGCTTCTGCAACCCAGGAGCCTGTGCCAAGCACCTGCGCTTGTCTCATGCCCAACTCCTCGAAAACTACGAGGCGGGGCACGTGTGCTGGGATGACAATGACGTGATTGCCGGGCGGCCGACTGGCGCCGTGCGGATCTCCTTTGGACACCTGTCAACCATTGATGACGTGGAGGTGAGCTGGGCAGAGTTGAGTGCCTGTTTCTTCAGCTATATCTCGTTTGGACACCTGTCAACTTTTGCCGCCGATGCGGAGCTCGTTTGGATTAAGTTGAGTGCCTGTTTGTCCATCAAATTTCCTTTCAACAATACTTCTGTCGAAAGTTTCCTGTCCACTGCTATTCACCTCTTTCTTTTTCTTTTTCCATTTTTTCAGATTTTTTTTTATATATTTGATAAAAGATCGTTGTCATCTGAAATAATCCTTTTTTTTTTTCCTGGCCTTGTTGCATCCTCCTCTTCTGCCCGATGCAAACCCGAAACCCCACTGTCTGCCCCAACACAAAACCCCCCTCGCCCACCCGCACCTGTCGTCCAAATGCTGCAGGCCTTCCTCTCCTTAATCCAGACATGCTTTGTGGAGCTTTGAGACGTCTCAAATTGTTGAGGTGTCTCAAATTCCCAACGCAAACCTCTCACACGCACCCATTGTCCAAATGCTGCAGGCGTTCCTCTCCTTCATCCAAACGTGCTTTGTGGAGCTGCCACGTCAGCACACTCCACCTCAGCACGCCACCTCTGCTGCCTCTGCTGCTTCTGCCGCTACCGCTGCCACCGCTGCCGTTTCCTCTTCTGTGTCTGCTTCTACAGCCGCTACAGCCGCTGTTGCTGCTACAGCCGCTACAGCCGCTGTTGCTGCTACTGCCGCTACAGCCGTTGTTGCTACTGTTGCTGCTGCCGAGAAGAAGCTGGATATAGGGCGTTTCACTAATGGAATAGCAAGCCATTTGGAGCATCGGGAGGAGCTTGCACAAGCAGATGTGGCTAAGGAGAATCTTTCGCGAGCACGTGCGCCTGCACAAAGTGTGACTATAGAGGGGCTGTTTGTGTATCCGATCAAGTCGTGTGCTCCCATGCGAGCGCAAGCATGGCCGCTGGGGCCCACTGGTGAGTCCGCCTTCAGAGCTTAGAAATAGTGCTTTGCTGCTTAGATGTGCCTGCACGGAGTGTGACTGTAGAGGGGCTGTTTGTGTATCCGATCAAGTCCTGTGCTCCCATGCGAGTCGAAGCATGGCCTCTTGGACCCATGGGTGAGTCCCTGATATTTTAAGGTATAGAGCGGTATAGTGTGGTTAGGGGTAATAGTTTGCTGTATAGCATGCATTGAGTTGTGTGTCCTGTGATCCCTTGCGAGTGGAAGCATGGCCACTTCGTTGGATCCACTGGTAATTCCCATGCCATTCCATGCCATGCCATGCCATGCCACCCATGCCATCCCATGCCATCCCATGCCATCCCATGCCACCCATGCCATGCCACCCTCCCATGCCACCCTCCTATACCACCCTCCCATGCCACCCTCCCATACCATCAGGTCTGCTGCATGACCGGGAATGGCTTATCATCAACCCTATAGGCACTCCACAAAGGCCCAACAGGGTGAGCACTGAGCAGCCAACACTGCCAGCAGTAGCACTCACTCTCTTTATTGCCTCCACATCCCACCCTTATGCACCTTACTGCACCTCCCGGAATGGTTTATCATCAATCCCATGGGCGCTCCACTGAGGCCCAACAGGGTGAGCACTGAGCAGCCAACACTGCCAGAAGTAGCATCTCCTCTCTCTTTGCTGCCTCCAATCCCCATCCGTTTGCTTTGCACCGCACTGAACCTCCCTGAGTGGCTCAACATCAGTGCCCCTGGGAGTGGCCCTTGGGTTGGGCATACCGTTGAGGGCCAGCTGGGTGAGCAGAGCACTGAACAACTAGCATTCTCATGATTCATGGGTACTCCTTTTTAGGCCCAAACGGATGAGCACTTCATCGCGCTTCACCGCACGTCACCGTAGGTCACCGCGTGTCCCCGCACATCCTCCGCACCCCCCTTCTTCCCCCACACAATAAGGCTCCTTCCTTCAACCGCTTCCGTCAATCCATCACCTCATCTCTCACCTCCTCTCCATCAACCTGGCTCCTCAAAAGTGTCTCATTTCGCTTCCTCCTCTCTCCCCACCCCCACAACCCCGCCACACGGCTAGGTCCCATCTCTCTACCGCCTCCGCCCATCCATCGACCTCGCTTCACGCCTCCTCTATCCACCTGAGTCATCAGAACTTTCCCATTTTGTTTCTTTCCTCCACCCTCCCTACAATCAGGTCCCCTCACTCTACAGCCTCCGCCCATCCATCAACCTCGCTTCACGCCTCCTCTCCATCCACCTTACTCCCCAAGGCTCTCCTCCTGCCCAGTCTCCCCTCCAATTACCTCTTGACATGTGGCCTGATGCCAGGCTGGATGGCGTGCGAGTGTGCGGTGACAGGTGCGTGGGTGGGTGTGGTGTGGATGGGTGTATATGGGTGTATAGAGGTGTACGCGTGTATGGGTGTCTTGACATGCATTTATGTTCATAGGCTGCAGCAGACATGGTAGGATGGATAGGGTGCAAGTGTGTGGTGACAGGTGTGTGGCTGGGTGTGATGTGGATGGGTGTATGTGGTTGTATATGGGTGTTCACGGTGTGTATGAGAGTACTGACTTTCGGCCCTGTCTCACCTCCAATTGCCCATTGACACGTGGCCTGACGCCAGGTTGGATGGGTGCGAGTGTGCGGTGACAGGTGCATGGCTGGGTATGGTTGTGTCTGTGACTGTGGCTGCGTGTGCATGTGTATGGGCTGGAGCATACTTGCCAGGCTGGATGGGGTGCGCATGTGCGGTGACAAGTGTGGGGCTGGGTGTGGTAATCTCTGTTTCCGTGGCATCACGTTGATCTTGAGACGTCTAAAGACAAATTCAACTATACGTGGTTCTGTCTTTAGAGACACATGTATCCTTGCAAGATTTTTTTGAGAATACTCAAGCATCATGGTGCCTTAGATACACGTACATGGGCATGCCCGTGTCACACATGTGTATCTTTGCATGATGGAAAGGTCCCTCATTTTCAATTACTCTCCTCACTCACGCGCTCTCATTCCCCATCACTCGTCTCTCACTCACTCAATCGCTCTCTCACTCACTCACTCATTCACTCACTCACTTGCTCACTCGCTCACTCACTTACTCACTCACTCCATCTCCTCCATCGTGTTGTCCCCTTATCATCCACACCAGCGTCCACGTGGCAGTGTACCCTGCTGACGTGGCAGCCTGGCTCTCCGCCGCTCTCGGCACGCCATGTCAGCTTGTGAGGCTCCTTCCGCACGCCCGCCAGCAGAAGAAGCTGCCTAGAAGCATCCTCAGCAGTCAGGACAACACCAGAACCAATCAGATCAGTGAAAACCAATCCAGCCGTAACGAATCTTCCCAATCCGCATCCTCCTTCCACTCCTATTCCTCCTCTCCCTCCTCTTCCCCCTCTCTCTCGCTAGCCAATGAGGCTCAGCTGCTAGTGCTCTCATCTGCTAGTCTGGCTGATCTTTGGAGGAGAGTGGCACATGGGACAGAGGGGGAGCTGATGGCAGGAGATGGACGGAAAACAGATGGGAGAACAACAGGAGTGGATAAACCTTTGCAAAATAAGCAAGTCAAATCTGGTCCCTTGCCGTTGCTAGGGTCTCATTCTGCTGCGCTTCCTTGCTGCCCTGCCGATTGGAGCCTGAGGCTCGGTAACCCTGCCGAACCTAATGGTCTGGACTCAGGCTCGGGGATGGATCAAGCTTATCCAGCACCAGCAGCAGCAGCATCTGCCACGTCAGCAGGGTCATCTCAGGCTGCTGACGTGGACAGAGATGCGGAAGCAGATGCCTCGTGGGCATTGCGGTTTCGCCCCAACATTGTGGTGGGCGGTGCTGACGTGGCGCCATACGATGAGGACAGGTGGAAGCAGCTGGTTGGTCAAGATGCTTCCTTTGAGGTGAGCAGTGCTTAACTTGATGGTACTGATTTTCATTCATTGGTTTTTTTTTGTTTTAATTGGCATTTTGGCTGTTCATCATCAACCCCCTTGTTCCCCTCTCTATATCTTCCCCTTCTTGATTCACCCATCACACTATGTCACACAGACTCACGCTTTTCAACACAAAAATAATCACACATTCCATGTCTCCTCGGTTGTCCATTTCAACATTCCTCCCTCCCTCCTCCTCCTCGCCTCACCAAATCCTTCCCTCCAGTCCCTTGCTCCCTGCAGCGAGTGTGCCATCATCAACACAGACCCTGCCACAGCTGTAATCGATCTATCCTACTTTCCTCTTTTCTTAGTCCTCTCTCCACCCCCTCTCCCTCCCTGTATCAATTTTCCTTCAGTCCCTTGCTCCCTGTAGCAGGTGTGCCATCATCAACACAAACCCTGCCACCGGCCAATCATCAGCACCTGAGCCTCTTCGGACCCTATCTGGTTACCGCAGGCACAAGGCAAACATCAACTTCGGTGTCCTCTTTACAGTCAAACTCCACCAAGTGCTCAGCACAGAAACTAGTGTTTTGTACCCAGACTCGTTGGTGAATGGGGCAAATGTAGCGCCTGGTACTAGGACTGAAGGAGGTCCATTGGTATCTGTAGGTCAAAGTTTTGCAATCATGTATGGATGATTTGTTCAATAAAATTTACGTGCTGACTGGATCCCTCATAGATTTAAAGCTGATTGGATAAGAAAATACATGGATTTAAAGAGATTATCCTCGCTTCGGTAATGAAAACGGACATGTGAGCCATTTAGCTCAAGTTGCCCTTCTCATCAGGTTAATAATCGAGACAATGATTTGCTGCATTTCGAGACAATAGTGGTCTACTCAATGGAGGGAATAGTTTTGTGTCTCCATCCGACCGAATTTACGAACCTGCTCGGGGCAAGGAAATCTGACAGTGTGGACCGGTGTTTCATCGCGATTGGGGGGTCAGGTTGCTTTCGGGCTTGGCCGATGGGGTTGCTCCCTCCTGCCTGAACTGGAAGCTGGGAGCATTCCTGGGGGCTTGGCTCCACGTCAGCAGAAAATCCGCGCCTGCGAATGGCGTCCCTCGTGGTGGCACGCTTCGGATGCCGTCACCCATTCCCAATGACCACGTCACGTATTCAAGCTCGTCTTATGTGGGGAGTGTACGCTACAATCGAGACGGCGTCTTTTCTCAGTAGCTAGCAGCTGATTTTGCAATCCTTGCTGACGTTTAGTTCGTACCAAATATATATAATTGCAGTTTTTTCTCTGAGATGACATTAAGAGTCGAACTTAAGACGTATCTATCTTGCCACGTGACGGCGCGCTGTCAATGTAAACAGGTCTCTCAACCCAGATCTTTGAGTGTGCAGGGGAGTGCACTGGCCTATACCCCATCTCTTCAAAATACAGTCACTACCCTCCTAAATTCTCCCCACACTTCAATACCCCTTTAGGAGACTACAAGGCCTATTACTGGCAAGTTTGTGAACAGCCGTTACCACTTTGGCTCAGAGAAAAGAACTCTTTGAAGCCCCTCCTGTTCACACGTGCCAGTCAGACGCCATGGCTCTCTCCCTGTGCGCGAAGTCGAGCCTCGTCTCGGCCGCTGGCCTGCAGCAGCGCGGCGCTGCCCTGGAGAGAAGGCAGACCGGCGCCTCGCTCTCAGCGTCGCTCGCCCACTCAGCCGCTGCTCCTTCGTTTAAGGCTTTCGATGGCATGCGCGCTAACTCAACCTTCTCCTCCGCCTCTTCATTCCTGTCCGGCGCTAAAGTTGCTGCGCCTGTGGCCGCGGAGGCTCCGGCTGCTGCCGCTGCTGAGAAGGGTTTCACCCTGACCATTGTGGCGGGCAGGAACAGCAAGAAGATTCAAGGAAGGAAGCTCCGCGTCGCCGGTGAGTAACGGCCGCTATCATATTTTCCGGAGCGAACAACACTAGTCGATGACTTCAGATTCGTGACTGTCCCAGATCGTGTCCTAAATTGCACATTACCTTGAATTCCACCATATACTCCACCAGGATTGCCCTCTGGCAACTAAAACTACCACGGCATTCTTCCTTCCCTCTTCCTGAATGCAATTAGTTTTCCTGTTTTACCAACTTCCAACCTTAACAAAGATTTCCGGATTTCTTTTACACAGTTATCGGAGGCGGCCCGGCCGGCGGTTGCGCGGCGGAGACTCTGGCGGAGAACGGCATCGAGACTTTCCTCATTGAGCGCAAGCTCGACAACGCCAAGCCGTGCGGTGGAGCCATCCCCCTCTGCATGGTCGACGAATTTCAGGTAACTTCCTTTCGCTAACTTCGCGAATCACTGTGCGACGGAGACGCTGGCGGAGAACGGCATCGAGACGTTCCTCATTGAGCGCAAGCTCGACAACGCCAAGCCCTGCGGTGGTGCCATCCCCCCTCTGCATGGTCGACGAGTTCCAGGTAGCCCCATTTTCGCTTGCTTTTGTGTGAAGTTTTTATGAGATTTGGGTGTCTGATCTCCTGGTTCTGTTTCTCTAGAGTCTTCGAATTACGATTTTCGTGATGTAATTGGATCCGCTTCGTCAATGCTCCTAGCTGGTTTTGCAACGACGGAGCAAGTAATTCCGAGGCGCCTCACAAATAGTGAATGCGTTTACTTTAATGCGGCCGTTCAGCTCCGTCTGCTAGGCACATTCTGAGATGAAAATATTATTCCATCCCCTTGCAACGTGGACGCCAACGTAGGCTCTACCCTCGGCGTTAAGGAGTACACATTCTGAATCCCTCGCGTCATGAATTCCACTCCTCGCTCTCTCTTCCACTTTCTCCTCCGTTTTAATCCGATCTTTCCTGCCTGCAGCTGCCGCAGGAGAGCATTGAGAGGAGCGTGACCAACATAATATCGCCCTCCAACGTCGAGGTGTTTCCTCACATCTCTCCCTCCTTTTCCCATCTCCCTTCTTTTCTTCCTCCCTTGCAGCTGCCACAGGAGATCATCGACAGGCGCGTGACCAAGATGAAGATGATTTCCCCTTCCAACGTCGAGGTCGACGTAGGGCGCACGCTCGGCAAGGAGGAGTACATCGGCATGGTGCGCCGCGAGGTGCTCGACGCCTTCCTGCGCAACCGCGCCCAGTCTTACGGCGCGACGGTCATCAACGGGCTGTACCTGAGGATGGACGTGCCCAAGGACGACGACAGCCCCTACGTCATCCACTACTCCGACTACGCCGGCGACTCCAAGGTTCGTGCCTTGAGTCGGAGTGAGCGTTGCACTTTGCGAGGGCATTCCATTGTGAGCGCGACGGTTACCAACGGGCTGTATTGCCCAAGGATGACGACAGCCCCTACATCATCCACTACTCCGACTACGCCGGCGACTCCAAGGTTTGTACGAGCCGAGCCGGTCACAAGGCGCTTCCGGATGTTCCCACGGTTCGATGGTAACCGGTCGTGTGGCTGGCTCGTTCGCGTCGTGCCGCTTGGCCGCGTGGCTTCGTAAGCCGGGCAAGGACTGGCGTTCTTTGCTTTAGCGACTAGGAAACCTTGGATTGTCTGCCGGCTTTCGAATCCAGTCCGGCTGTCTGGCTATCTGTCTTCTCTTGCGGATCTGTCACAAAGATATTTTGATCGTTGTTTGCTGACGTGTCTTACCACATCTGTGTGATTGCTGTCCTGCCTTGCGATTGGTCAATGCAGGTCGGCGTGCCCAAGACTCTCGAGGTCGACGCCGTGATCGGCGCTGACGGCGCCAACAGCAGGGTGGCCAAGGACATCGACGCGGGTGACTACGACTACGCCATTGCCTTCCAGGTGAGGACACACGCTTCAATCTTGGTGTATCTATTAGTGTACTACTGAGGTTCATCCGAGGTGTCTCGAAAGCCAACGGCAGAGTGGCCAAGGACATCGACGCGGGCGACCACGACTACGCCATTGCCTTCCAGGTAAGGTCACATGCTTCAGCGTTCCGCGACTCTATGTGTTACGAGGATCTCGCGGAGATGTACGCTTTTGAGTAAACTCAAAAGCAGTATGTAGTACGAGGATCTCGCGGAGATGTACGCTTTTGAGTAAACTCAAAAGCAGTATGTAGTACGAGGATCTCGCGGAGATGTACGCTTTTGAGTAAACTCAAAAGCAGTATGTAGTTCGAGGATCTCGCGGTGATGTATGTGGGCGATGACTCCTGATAACTCACTCTACCCTACCCACCTTACTCACTCTACCGTATCCTGCTGTACCCTACTCTACCGCACCTCACAGGAGCGTATCCGTCTGCTCTGCGGGAGGACAAGATGGCGTACTACGAGGATCTCGCTGAGATGTACGTGGGCGATGACGTGTCGCCCATTGACTCACTCTACCCTACCGTATCCCACTCTACCTACTCTATCGCGCCCCACAGGAGCGCATCCGCCTGCCAGAGGACAAGATGGCGTACTACGAGGATCTTGCGGAGATGTACGTGGGTGATGACGTGTCGCCCGACTTCTACGGCTGGGTGTTCCCCAAGTGCGACCACGTGGCGGTCGGCACCGGCACGGTCATCAACAAGCCCGCCATCAAGCAATACCAGACCGCCACCAGGTGCGTGTGTGGAGATGTGTGCCGTTTCTGCTGTAGGTGGTGGTTTCTGGGGTGTGGTCTAATCGACTCTGAAGGCATTCTGCGGTCCGCACCGGCACGGTCATCAACAAGCCCGCCATCAAGCAATACCAGACCGCGACCAGGTGAGCACGCGCGTGCTATCAATGATTCAACGGGTTACAGTTGGCTTATTATCACCAGTGTGCCCGACTCGACTTCTACGGATGGGTGTTCTCCAAGTGCGACCACGTGGCTGTGGGCACCGGCACGGTCATCAACAAGCCCGCCATCAAGCAATACCAGACCGCGACCAGGTGAGCACGCGCGTGCTATCAATGATTCAACGGGTTACAGTTGGCTTATTATCACCAGTGTGCCCGACTCGACTTCTACGGATGGGTGTTCTCCAAGTGCGACCACGTGGCTGTGGGCACCGGCACGGTCATCAACAAGCCCGCCATCAAGCAATACCAGACCGCGACCAGGTGAGCACGCGCGTGCTATCAATGATTCAACGGGTTACAGTTGGCTTATTATCACCAGTGTGCCCGACTCGACTTCTACGGATGGGTGTTCTCCAAGTGCGACCACGTGGCTGTGGGCACCGGCACGGTCATCAACAAGCCCGCCATCAAGCAATACCAGACCGCGACCAGGTGAGCACGCGCGTGCTATCAATGATTCAACGGGTTACAGTTGGCTTATTATCACCAGTGTGCCCGACTCGACTTCTACGGATGGGTGTTCTCCAAGTGCGACCACGTGGCTGTGGGCACCGGCACGGTCATCAACAAGCCCGCCATCAAGCAATACCAGACCGCGACCAGGTGAGCACGCGCGTGCTATCAATGATTCAACGGGTTACAGTTGGCTTATTATCACCAGTGTGCCCGACTCGACTTCTACGGATGGGTGTTCTCCAAGTGCGACCACGTGGCTGTGGGCACCGGCACGGTCATCAACAAGCCCGCCATCAAGCAATACCAGACCGCGACCAGGTGAGCACGCGCGTGCTATCAATGATTCAACGGGTTACAGTTGGCTTATTATCACCAGTGTGCCCGACTCGACTTCTACGGATGGGTGTTCTCCAAGTGCGACCACGTGGCTGTGGGCACCGGCACGGTCATCAACAAGCCCGCCATCAAGCAATACCAGACCGCGACCAGGTGAGCACGCGCGTGCTATCAATGATTCAACGGGTTACAGTGCTTATTATCACCAGTGTGCCCGACTCGACTTCTACGGATGGGTGTTCTCCAAGTGCGACCACGTGGCTGTGGGCACCGGCACGGTCATCAACAAGCCCGCCATCAAGCAATACCAGACCGCCACCAGGTGTGTTGGGACCTTATAATGCCCGGGCCTCTTTTCCCACACTCCATGCTGCCTTTCCGTCACGGATTGTGCCAAGGACTAATTGAGGGAGGCAAGATCTGGTCACCCCATCCCCGAGCACCCCCACCCCCGTCGGTCAATCTTTCAGGCGTTCACACTCTCTCAACAACACGCATTTTATCTGAGCATCTCTCTCCACACTTCCTGCCGCCTTTCTCTCCCCCTCAAGAACCGGGCCAAGGACAAAATCGAGAGCGACAAGATCATCCGCGGGGAGGCGCACCCCATCCCCGAGCAACCCTGCCCTTCCTAGTCAGTCGTTGAGGCATCTCACTTCCTGTTCTTCCCACCCTGCTTGCCGTCGTTTGTCCCTCAGGAACCGCGCCAAGGACAAAATCGAGGGCGGCAAGATCATCCGTGTGGAGGCTCACCCCATCCCCGAGCACCCCCGCCCCCGCCGGACCTCCAACCGCGTGGCTCTCGTTGGCGACGCTGCTGGCTACGTCACCAAGTGCTCAGGCGAGGTGTGTTGCTGCTGAGTGATGGGGTTGAGCAATGCGTGTGTAATGCCACAATCCCTGGTGCCTTTTGACATTCAACCGCGTGGCTCTCGTTGGCGACGCTGCTGGCTACGCCACCAAGTGCTCAGGCGAGGTGTGTTGCTGCTGAGTGATGGGGTTGAGCAAGGCGTGTGTAATGCCACAATCCCTGGTGCCTTTTGACATTCAACCGCGTGGCTCTCGTTGGCGACGCTGCTGGCTACGCCACCAAGTGCTCAGGCGAGGTGTGTTGCTGCTGAGTGATGGGGTTGAGCAATGCGTGTGTAATGCCACAATCCCTGGTGCCTTATGACGTTCAACCGCGTGGCTCTGGTTGGCGACGCTGCTGGCTACGTCACCAAGTGCTCAGGCGAGGTGCGTTGCTGCTGAGTGATGGGGTCTGTGCTGTTCCGCAGTTTGGTGTTGCACGATTTGAGATTGGGAAAGGGCATGCGCATGGCATGGTGCACGAGACCCCCAGTCTCAAAACGTGACACATGGCACCCATGGGGGTCTGTGTTGCACGCATGGCATGGTGCACGAGACCCCCAGTCCCCTTTGGCTGTATCCATTTCACACTCTGTCGTTTTATACTATACATGGAGCTTACCCATTTCTCCACTTTCCATCCCCCATTCCCCCACTGTCCATGCGCCAAGCTGGAGCGTATGGCAGCAGAGGCGATCTTGGAGGGGTTTGAGAAGGGCACTCGCATGGTGGACAAAACGTCAAGGCCGCTTGCTGCCCTGCCCCCAAGCCCGCCCTTGTCACCCGTGCCGTACGTTGTGCTCACCCTTTGCACTGCTCTCCACCTCCCATCACACCACTCTCCACCCCCCAGGGCATCTACTTTGCGGCAAAGTCGGGGCGCATGGCAGCAGAGGCGATCGCTGAGGGGTCTGAGAAGGGCACGCGCATGATCGACGAGTCTGACCTGCGTGTGTACCTGGACAAGTGGGACAAGAAGTACTGGGCCACCTACAAGGTGAGGATCTCTTTTGATTGGATTAGGTTGGGATTGCCCTTCATTCAAACTCCTTTCATTGTAGGAGCAGCTTGGTAGGTTGTGAGTGGATATGTCTGGATGAGATGCACGTGTATGGTGGATGAGTCTGACCTGCGTGTGTACCTGGACAAGTGGGACAAGAAGTACCGGGCCACCTACAAGGTGAGGTCCTTCGTTGACACTTCTTTCATTGTAGGAGCAGTTTGGTAGGTTGTGAGTGCCATCTTTCTGGACAAGAGGCACTTGCATGGTGATCGAGAGAGACCTGCGTGTGTACCTGGACAAGTGGGACAAGAAGTACTGGGCCACCTACAAGGTGAGAAGAGTTGAATGGATTCGGCTGAGAGTTGAAACGTACTTCATTGCATGGTGAACGAATCTGGCCTGCATTTGTCTGGGCATGTGAGACAATATCTACTGGGCCACCTACAAGGTTAACTTGTCCTTTTTCTATAAGTTGAAAGAGGCTCAGTTAAGGTAGTAGAAAAGGCTTCGTTTGGTTTTCCGCTATTCCATTCTAATGTGTTCGTGTACTTTTTCCAACCTTTTTCCTTGTTTCTCAGGTGCTGGACATTCTCCAGAAGGTGTTTTACCGCTCCAACCCCGCGCGCGAGGCGTTCGTGGAGATGTGCGCGGACGACTACGTGCAGAAGATGACGTTCGACAGCTACCTGTACAAGACGGTCGTGCCGGGCAACCCCCTCGATGACCTCAAGCTGGCCGTCAACACCATCGGCAGCCTGATTCGCGCCAATGCTCTCCGCAAGGTTGCCCTCGAGAAGGCCTAAATGTCACTGGAATTGGAATAGTTTAGACGTGTATACAGGCTACACTACATTGTTGCATTCACATCAACTCTGCAAATCACAAAGCCTTGGAAACAATTATACCGCGTGAGCACATAACGCGATCAGGACTACGTGCAGAAGCTGATGTTCGACTGCTACCTCTACGAGACGGTCGTGCCGGGCAACCCCCTTAAAGACCTCAAGCTTGCTGTCAACACCACCGGCAGCCTCATTCGCGCTAACGCTCTGTGCAAGTTTGCCCTCGAGAAGGCCTAGAGTGCTATGGTTCTGAATATTCTAGATGTGTATACTGGTTATGTCAAACTTATATTGTTATCTGTTGTTAGAGCGTATTCCTATCCTCCGTATCAAGAGAACCTCATATCAAGATAGTACTTTTTGCCTGGTAAAACAAGTGAGAGGTTTTGGGCTTAGGGGAATTTTCAGTGGGAGGTTGATATGAGATTCTCTTGATACGAGGTTAGGAATACGCTCTTAGGCTATAGTGGGGCTAGCCTTATGGGGTTCACAACTTTAGGGTTTCTGTTACGAGTGCAATTGAGTGAACGAACGAGAATTGCACTATCGAAGCAAGAGTACAATGTGTGAAGGCATGAGCAAAGAATATATAGCAAAACTATAGTGGTAACGGTAATGTGTGGAAAATGGGGTGCGCGACGGGCCTAGCGGGTAGGTTGGGAAATGTCGAGGCGGAGGTCCGGAGTGCGGGTTACCAACCGAACCGTGAGGTTGGGTCGCGTCGTGAATAGTGGCGGAAACAGTGTCAAGGCGAGTTGTCAGAATGTGATGTTTCCCATATGTATCTCATCTGCTGCTAGTGAAAACCCCCTTTCCTGTTTCTGATTCTTGCCTAGTATTTCAACATGCTATCAGAGCAGGTCGACCCTCCTGGGTCGATCCTGTAGGTGGGCCCCACCCGATGCTTCCGCTGCTCTACTGCCTGTAGCGCGCCCCGGGCGCGCGCCGTTTTCTTCCTGCCGTGCGCTCGGAGCGCGCAGCGTTTTTTCTTCCCGCCGCGCGCTCGGGGCGCGCGGCGGTTTTCTGCCCTGCCCGCCGAGCGCCCCGGGAGCGCGCGGCGGTTTCCTGCCCCGGTGACCCGCGCGTCGCCCCCCGTCGCCCGACGCGGCCCGCGCGACCTGCGCCAGGCCCGCGCGCGGCCCGTACGGGCTGTGCCAAGCCCGCGCGCGGCCCGGGCAGCCCGCGCGCGGTTCGTTCCGCCTGCGCCAGGCCCGTGCGCGGCCCGTACAGTCTGCCCCAGTGCCGCACGCTGTCCCCCGAGCTTCTGACCGCGCCCCACCCTCGCTGCTGCCCGTGCTCCTGTGTTAGGGTTTGGGGGTGGAGAGTATGGGGGTGCCGGGTGTGTGAGCCGTCCCCTGCTCCTCCTCCTCCTCCGTCTCCCACTGCTGCAGCTGCCGCTGAGGGGGGTGGATGTGTTGGAGCCGTCGGAGTGGTACGAGGGGGGTGGCGTGTGAGCAGTGCTAGAGGTTCAGCAGGGAGTGTGTGAAAGGGGTGTGGGACAGTTGGGGGAGGTTGACCGGAGGTAGCCGACTTGTCGTCCGCAGCGCCTGAAGTCCAGAGAGCCACGACCCCCTGTGGCCGTGTAGTCCAGGGCTCTGCGCCTGGTAGCCACAGTGTGAGCATTCCTGGTAGTCCAGAGAGCCACGACCCCCTGTGGCCGTGTAGTCCGGGGCTCTGCGCCCGGTAGCCACAATGTGAGCACTCGTGGGAGCACAGAGAGCCAGCTGCGCCTGTCGCCGTGTAGTCCGGGGCTCTGCGTCTGGTAGCATCAGTGCTGCACACTCCTGCTGCCCGTGTGTCTGCAGCTTCAGCCGTCGCCTCCCATCTTCTCGCCCCCCACAGTTTCTCCTCCTCCTCACTTGCCCTCTGTGATAGCCTCTAGCTTTGCTTATCCTTGTGAACTATTCCTCTGCCTGCTTGTTGTGCTGATTATACCCCACTTTGACTATGGGGGTGTGTCAGAATGTGATGTTTGTCTAGTCTGCAGTGGGATACTCTATAGCGAGTACAACCCAATTAGGGTTTCCCAAATGTATCTCAACTGCTGCTAGTGAAAACCCCCTTTCCTGTTTCTGATTCTTGCCTAGTATTTCAACACGAGTGTCGCGAGTGGTAACGGATTACTGTTCGGTGCTGTTGGCGGGAACAGTGGTGTACGCGCTGAACAGGGTCGCGAAGCAAGGAAAAGAAAATTTCCTTACAGTTTCCTACTTGTACCACCATTCTCATGGTTCAACCATTCCTCTTTCCATATTCTGATATGGTATTAGAGTAGGTACGTTCCTTAGGGCCCACCGAACGTTTCGCCCTGCCCGGACTTGAAACCTTTTTTTCCCCGCCCTGCTGCCTAGCGCCAGCACGCGCCTTCGTGCCCTGCCTGCGCGCGCTCTGCTTGCCCGCGCGCTCTGCACGCGCACCCTGCTGCCCACAGCGCCAGCGCGCCCTGCTGCCCAGCACGCCAGCGCGCCCCGCTGCCCGACGCGCCAACGCGCCCCGCTGCCCGACGCGCCAGCGCGCCCTGCTGCCCAGCGCCCCAGTGCGCCCCGCTGCCAAACGCGCCAGCGCGCCCCGCTGCCCAGCGCGCCCCGCTGCCCAGCGCGCCCCACTGCCCAACGCGCCATAGCGCCCCGCTGCTCGACGCGCAAGCGCGCCCCGCTGCCAAGCGCGCCCCGCTGCCCAGCGCGCCAGGGTCAAATTCCATTTGTATGCTTCTAGTCTGTAGTGGGGCATACTCTAGTGAGTACAACCCTTTAGGGTTTCATACTTGTACTCATCCTGCTGCTCAATGCAATCATTCATGCCTGCTTATTTTTACATGGTATTACAGCAGAATCGTTCCTAGGGCCCACCGAACGTTCCGCCCTGCCCTAACCGTAAATTTTTCTTCCTACGCTGCCCCTGCAGCCGCACTGCCCTTGTAGTCTGTGTGCTGCCCCTGCAACCGTGCTGCCCCTGCAGCCGTGCTCACCCCTGCGACCGTGCTGCCCCTGCAACCGTGCTCACCCCTGTGACTGTGCTGCCCCTGCAGCCGTGCTCGCCCCTGAGACCGTGCTGCCCCTGCAGCCGTGCTCGCCCCTGCGACCGTGCTGCCCCAGCAGCCGTGCTCGCCCCTGCGACCGTGCTGCCCCTGCAACCGTGCTCACCCCTGTGACTGTGCTGCCCCTGCAGCCGTGCTCGCCCCTGAGACCGTGCTGCCCCTGCAGCCGTGCTCGCCCCTGCGACCGTGCTGCCCCTGCAGCCGTGCTCGCCCCTGCGACCGTGCTGCCCCTGCAGCCGTGCTCGCCCCTGCAACCGTGCTGCCTCTGCAGCTATGCTCGCCCCTGCAACCGTACTGCCCCTGCAGTCGTGCTCGCCCCTGCAGCCGTGCTCGGCCCTGCGACCGTGCTGCCCCTGCAGCCATGCCTGCCCCTGTGACCCACGCGCTGCCCCTGCAGCGCGTGCGTCGCCCCTGCAGCCAGCGCGCCCCCCTGCCGAGCCGCGCGTCGCCCCTGCAGCCCGTTCGCGCTGCCCCTGCAGCCCGCGCGCCGCCCTGCCGAGCCGCGCGTCGCCTCTGCAGCCCGTGCGCACGGCCCCTGCAGCCCGCGCGTCGCCCCTGCAGCCCGCGCCCCGCCCCTGCAGCCCGTTCGTGCTGCCCCTGCAGCCCGCGCGCCGCCCCTGCAGCCCGCGCGACGCCCTGCCGAGCTGCGCGTCGCCCCTGCAGCCCGTGCGAGCTGCCCCTGCAGCCCGCGCGTCGACCCTGCAGCCCGCGCACCGCCTCTGCAGCCCGTGCGTGCTGCCCCTGCAGCCCGCGCGCCGCCCTGCCGAGCCGCGCCGCCCAGGCCGAGACGAGCCGCCCTACCCAACCCGAGCCGCCCTGCTACTACTACTGCTGCTGCTCGTTCTACTGCTGCTACTGGAGGAGGTAGTGGAGGTGCGGCCGCCCAGCCCGACCGAACCGCCCTGCTGCTGCTACTACTGCTGCTGCTGCTGCTACTTGTGCTACTGCTGGTGGAGGTGCTGCTGGGAGTGCTGGAGGTGCTGCTGGTGCTGTAGGAGCTGGAGGTGCTGGACCTACTCCTGACCGTCACTGTCTGTCATGGCCACTATCGCGGCAGTTGCTGCGGCCAGGGGTGGACAGCAGCGGGCACTGCCTCTCCTGGACGACCCCACCCCTCAGCAGCTTCGTGAGTGGGTTTTCAGCGAGGCAGTCCTGGTGGTGGAGGTTTTGGTTTTATGTGGCCTAAGCGACCTCGCGACTGTGCTTCTCAGCGATGCGTCCCTGGCTGTGTAGAGGTTACTGCTCTCGGTTCTAGTGAGTCTGCTGCCGCTCCAGGTGCTAGTGAGTCTGCTGCCGCTCCAGGTGCTAGTGAGTCTGCTACAGCTCTAGGTGCCCGTGAGTCTGCCGACGCTCTAGGTGCTAGTGCGTCTCCTACCACAGGTCATGCCTGAGCTGAGGTCTTGCACCCTTTCACGCTTGACTCAGGCGCGTCACGTTCCTTCTTTCGTGATTGCACCACAGTCACACAACTCACAACACCTGTCCCAGTCTCACTGGCTGACCCCTCTGGGGGCCCAATGGTTGCGAGAGCCTCCACGGTCCTCCCTTGTCCAGCAGTCCCCTCCGGTTCTTTGTCAGGTCTCCACGTCCCCACGTTCTCGACGAACTTGGTGAGCAACGCTACCATTCAGGATGTCTGGGTTGATACCTTTATTCCTGGAGGGCAGTGTGTGGCGATCTGTACGTGCTCCCGGACTGGCCGTCACCTGGCTACGTTCACTCGACCCGTACACACTGACCACTACGTCTGCACAGGTGGCTGCGTCGAGTCGGGCGTCTGCGTCGGGGAAGTTAGCTGCGTCTTTCGCGTGTAGAGTACTCACGCACGAGACTCAGCGCTGGCACCACCGTCTTGGTCACCCCTCCCTGTCGCGTCTACGTAGCATGCACTCCCGTCTCCTTGTCTGTGGCCTCCCCAGGACCC